GACAGAAACTCACGAAGAATCATTCGAAATATTCATTGACGTAGTTATATCGACACAACAAACCTATTCGCTTTATTTTTCACAATTTAAACTTAATCGAAAGTTTTTATTGGTCGATGGAAAAACATCGGAACAAATAACGTCATTGCGCACTGCGCTCGTTGATTGGCTGGCTGGCTGGCTGGCTGGCTGGCTGATGATTCAACTGTCATTGAATTTTAATTATATTTATAAAAATGAAGCGAGTGGATTTGTTATTTCGATAGTATAGTTGAATAATAATAAGCACTTTTAGAAAGACAACTGTTTCGATCTCTCCCAGGAACGGCAACAAGTGTATGACGCTGTTGTAAAATACCCAGGGATTATAATACGGGTGTTCCATTACATCGACATGAGATGTAAGTTAATACCGCCACCTGCTACTGACCATCAATTAGTAATCCTGTTTATTATTAGAGAATTCAAGCGTATTTGACCTTTAAATGCACTGTTGCCGATTTAGTTGGGTCAATAGAGATTGTGACAGCTCGTAACAACGCGACCGAGTGCTCTGTAAGGCATTTCACGAATGACTGGTATTTAACGCACTGAAAACCTGCATTCTCCAGGTATTGATTGGTTCATTAGATCTGCGACAAAAAGACCTAATGGCGATGTTAGCTGGATTTGTTTTGACGTGCCTCACAAATATGTTCTAATTTGGAGAATAACCACCGTGACTGTTTGCTTTCATAATTCAATTTGGAAAGAACTTGAAGCTTTTCAACCAGTTTAATAATCGGCGTTCATATATAATAAACTCAACGACCTATGTGTGACAAGAACAATCAATAGTGTTTGTCATTCTAGTTTCACTCTTTATTTAGCAGGAGTGTAAAGTTCAATCATTGTTAAAAGATTTTACGACTAGGCTAAATATGCAACCTGACGCACACGGAACGTGTCAGATCAAACAAACTACTGGCATGCACCCTGTGTGTATAAAACTTACCCAGTTTTGGCAAAATTTGCCCAATATTTCATCATTTCCCTGGATAGCACCTTTTCCGAATCGCTGAATCCATTTTCTGGGTACAGCGGTGTTCCAAAGACAAACGGGATTTCGTCCCCATGAAGAACGCCGTACCAGTCCAACCAAGGCGTATTGCTTGCAAGTTCAGAAAATAAATACCTGTACACATCGTTGCCGTATTGGGAGTATAATTTAGCTGTTTCATCAGTTGGACATGTTATCAGAAAATCTCCCACTACATCGCTCGCACCTGCCACAAGGTCTGCCGAGTTTTCGGGTTCAAGCCAATTAGTGTATTCGAAAGAGATAGCTGCGTGGGTGAGTGCATTTGCCATCGAAAAGTAAAATTCAATAAATTCTTCGAAGGTAGTATGGTTCAATATTGGCTTCTGGTCAAGTGAAAAATACTGCGGCGCCATATATGGCAGAAACCACGTTCCCTCGTTGAGATTGTCTCCTATGAGAATCTCGGTCGATTCATACAACCCATCCTTTAACAGATTTAACGGACTGTCTTTCAAAAACGTGCCATCTACTACACCCGGCGTGGGAATACGAACATCATCCACGTATTGGGCCAGTACAATTTCTTCTGTTGACTTCGAGTTGAAACATTCCAGTATTTTCGTGTTATCAACAGTTTCGTTTGACAAATAATTAAGGCCACAGCCCAGATTGTCAGTCATTGTCAGTGCCAATTTTTCGGAACGATCATACGTCACAATAGACTCGGGAAAAAAGACATTGCCACTTTGTAAAATAGCTCTCCGAAATAGATTCTGACTCGAAAATAGATGTACCCCAACGCTAATAGCACCGGCACTCTCTCCAAATATAGTAACTCTTTCCGGATCACCTCCAAAATAGTCGATATTATCTGCCACCCATTGCAGTGCCATGGCCTGATCTAAGAAGCCCATGTTTCCAGGAGCCTGTGTATCTCTCAGAGCTAAGAAACCCAAAACACCGAGACGATAGTTAACTGACACCACAATTACTTGCTCGGCGTCTGCTAGCGTTGCACCATCGTATAGATCCACGGAAGATGCGCCAGACGTCAGTCCACCGCCCGGTATCCACACCATAACGGCGGCTTTACTCGGTGTTGGAAAAGGTGACCAGACGTTTAAATATAGACAATCTTCGCTGATAGGGGCGTTTACGTCCCACATAGTTTCACCCCGAAAATCACTTTGAACGGGAACTTGGCTGCAGGCATTGCTGAATTCAGTGGCATCGCGTACTCCTTCCCACGGTCGGAGGTATGGCTCTGTTACTTTAAACCGTAGTTCACCGACGGGTGGATTAGCGTATGGAATTCCTAAGAAGCTATCAACATTGCCGTTAAATAAGTCACGCCTTGTGCCCCTCAGTTGGCCATTGCGTGTGTTCACTATCGGTTCCTGTCCGTGTACATAAATCGTACTTACAATAACAACTAACCCTGCCACGTATATGGCATTATCGATCAGTTTAGCTGCGGTCATGTTTCCTACCTAGTTGAATTGCAGTCTATGTATATACGGTTTCCAAATAGTATACCGATACGCGTTATCAAAGTCGAGCTCTGAACTCCCGCTTTCTACACAACATGTCCACTATCGCAACGACGCGCTGAATGACGAGTATGACACCGTTCCCAACAGTGGGCAATAGAAACGTATTATGCAAATAGTGTACAGGCATTCATTGGTTTAACCACAGACTGAGACGTGACAGGAGCAACAAAGAGAAAGTAGGCTACATGTAGTGAAACCAACTATCCATGGTTCATTTCTCTATTATCGCATATGTTAGGAATACATGTAATGCATGTGATATAGGTGGTCCTTAGCACAGATTAAGGACGTCTCCACAGTGGCAAAATAAGTGTAGAATTGGTTAATCTAATTTAATTCCAGTTATCAAGTTGGGACATGCTTTCAATATCCCTGATACGGTCTGTTACACACAGTTTATTCTGTACTGTTAGCCCTACGCTGTCTTTACTAATGACTTGCTCAACAATTGGATGAACGAAATATTATATTAAAATACTCGATACGAGAAACAAAACACCCATACTGCCAGTGCTGCCTTTTTCTCTTTAAAACCCCGCGAATCTTCTATATTAGGGGGGGGGGCTGTGTTCTACGTGCCGTGTAATATGTGGGTTCTGCGCGACGACAAGGAGAATACACAACGTTCCTTACAGGCTTTTTAATTTTAATTTTACTGTTTTTTGATATACATTAACAATAACTGTGTTATTTATATTTTTGCGCTCCAATTAAGATAGTGAGAAAGGTTGAAAGGTCACGACATGTTTCTATAAAGAGTGTTGTTATTTCATTCAATGTATTGTTTGAAAGCCTAGATATAGGGGAACGCATTTGAACACAGTTAGAGGGACTGTGATTTAAAGTGAA